GATTGATAGCGTCCACAACAGCTGATATTTAGAATGTAAAATTAGTAATGACATAGTTGTTTATGACAAAGATATGGCGAGTCACAATGTAGCATCGGACAAAGAAATTCGAAAGTTTGAACTTAACTTTGAAGAAAATGTGAATTTTACATGAATAACATTGGAATTATTTGGAATGGTGTTCAGTGAAAATGGTATCACACCCGATCTCAACAAGGGCAAAGTATTCAGTGTGCAAAAAAAGTGAATATCGTAGTCTACTAGGCATAAGGAACTTTGCTTCTCGTTTCTTCTCAGGGTATGCAGAGTTAGTTGCACCTGTGTTAAAGCTCATAAAGAAAAAAAATGCCGTATTTGAGTGGGAAGAAGCTCAGCAGAAAGTGTTAGATGAGTTGAAACTTCGATTAACAGACATTTATGTCTAATTTCGATCAAAACAATACCATAACTGTATTTATTGATGCATTTACACGTGCATTAGGTGCCGTGCTTAGAGGACACAAGAAGGTCACGTTGTTGCATATGGCAAAAACCTAGCCTGAAGTGGAAATGCGTTATTCGCAAATTGAACGCAAAGCTTTGGTGATTGCATGGATGGGAGTGTCGAAATTTGTGTATGTATGTGCTTGGTTAGCAGTTCACAATTGCCACGGATCATAAACCGCTGTTGACAATATTCATTAAGGCGAGATCAGAAGCATCGACCAGAATCGAGAATTGGCGACTTTGTGTTTTGACTTTCATAGGCGGATTCAAGGAGGCCAAGCCGGCCCGCCCCCTACATTTTTCAAAAATAAAAATAAAAAATTAAGAAAAAAGAAAATTCGACTAAAATTTTGAGTCTACGAGTGCCATTTCCGGCCATCCAGCGGTTCCATAATCCTAAATTTTCTCTACCTCAGCCCCAACCATGTTTAAGCTGAGGTATATTGACCCTCCACCTGTTAAAGTCCCTTTCTGGGCTGACTCTATTTCAAATTCCTGGATCCGCCACTGACTTTGTAGTGTATTACGAAAAAGGAAAATCCTGCTCACAATATGTCTAGACATGATATTAATAACACTGGTGACTATGTAAGCTGTTGAGGTGACCGTCAGACTGTATCCATTTAATGCGTAATGTTAAACCTCGATGATGTAGTGAAAGCGACAAGTCGCAGATAACGTAGTACAACTAGTCAAACAAGATATACTGACACAGTCAGTGCATGGACTGATGACAAAGTGAAGAGTTTTGCTGCAATTCACCACGCTGCAAAACACTTGTCAATGATGTAATACTATGCGGTCATAGAATCGTTATTCCACAATCGCTTACAGATCGAGTTGTTGCATTAGCGCACGAGGGTCATCATGGTATCGTGAAAACTAAGTTTTTACTACGCGATAAGGTATGGTTTTCAAAAATGGTCATATTGTCTGAAAATACCGTCAAGAAGTGTGTTGAGTGTCAGATTGCCACAGCTTTGAAACCAACTGAACGGTTGCGTAGGCCTATAACCGAGCTACCCAAAGCACATGGCAAGAAATAAGCATGGAGAGATAAGCAGCAGAGTTAGGCTCTAATATGATTTGCTTATAATAGATGAGTACTCACGGTATCCAGTTGTAAAAATAGTTCATTCCACTTCTGCGAAAATATTATTACCAAAGTGGGACACGGTATTTGCTATGTTAGGGATACCTACAGTTGCCAAGACAGACAATGGTCCTCCTTTTAATGGGAATGACTTTCAGCGGTTTGCTCAGCAGTTTGTTTTAAAACACAAAAAAGTTACTCCGTTATGGCCCGAAGGTAACGGCAAAGCTGAAAGATTTGTGAAAACGCTTAAGAAAGTGTTGCACACTACCGATAGGCAGAAAGTGGTGCATACATTTCTTTGCAATTATCGAATTACTTCGCACAGTAAGACTAACGTTCCGACAGCAACTGCCTTATTCGAAAGGCCAATTCGAGCAAAGTTTCCCGTGGCGGAAGTCAGTCAGCCTAAATTTGATCCAGAGCAAATGAGAACGCAAGATGAGAAGGAAAAACGACAATTTAAAGCAAAAGCGGTCAAGAAGAGGATAGCGAAAGATTCTGACATTATCGGAGATAGTGTTCTAAGTTGGTAAGCAAAAGAAAATGCACAGATCATCAACTGCGTATGCTCCTCTTATGATGAAAGTGATAGACAAGAAACACAGTCTAATCACAGCCCACGGTTCGAATTTTTACAATTACTAGAAATTCTTCATTCTTCAAGCGACTTCATTCAGAAAGGAAAAGCTCAAAGCGAATAAAGGAAGAGATGATGAGAATGTGAAAGTTAATCGAGCGAGAAAAGTAACAGAAAGATTAACTGAACAGTGCTAAAGAAGAAAGATTAGTTGAATAGTGTTAAAGAAGAAAGACTACGTTATTTAGTGAGCAAATGAATGAGGGAGAGACATACAGTACGTTTGAATTTATTGAGTTTATATATAAAAAAACAATAGTTTTTATTATACTAATGAAAACAAAAATGAGTTCATAAAAATAAATAAATACTTTAATAAGAATATAATTAAAATGTTAGTGTTATTAGTGTTGGAAACATATGACCATCGAACTTCAATGAGGTACAGTAATAATTCATTATAGTGTACAGAATTTACAGTGAACAAACTATATCACCATGGAAAAAAGTAAAAACATAATACCTAAGCTCAGTTTTTAAAATGGTTGCAATTTATTGAAAACAAATTTTTATAATACAAAAGGAAAACGTTGTTAGCAGCAGAAAAGTTTTAATATTTCTTTTGAGTTGTACTGTTTTGATATTTAGAGAAATCAATCAATTGACCTGCAATAGCAAATTAAAGAAGGGAGATATCTGATGTAAAGCTTAGTAGCAGTCATGCTGCCCTCTAGAGTTTCGTGAGATGGTAGTTGCTAAATTTAACGGGTTTAGCCGAGGGGGCTTGGCTTGTATGGTAACACGTCATGTATAAATTATACCGTCTACCAAAGAGTAAATAACCAGGGCCGGTGGAACGTTTTTCAAAGTGGGGGGGGGGGGGGTGGTCATAAGATGAATGGGAATATGAATCATGCAGATCTGGAAAAACCTAGGGGATGGGGGTCAACATTTTCCTAAAAAGGAAAGGGGATCCGGGGGTCCTCCCCTGGGAAAATTTTGATTTCTAGATAGCGGGAAATGACCTTTCTCGACTTTTGAGCTAGGTTTCTAATGACTTTGTTCTTCAAAATTCAAGGTTTTCCCCTCTTGAAAACGGTCAGGTAAACTTTCTCATTCTTATTACAGTAAATAGGCCTGTATGTGTATACATACATAAAAAAAATTAGTTGTTGCATACGTATTCTTTTTTCAATGAATTGATAAGCTCCAAAGAAAAGGAGCGGGGGTTCCGGGGTTCTCCCCCGGAAAAATTTTGAATCTTAGATGGCGGGAAATGAGTTTTTCAGACTTCTGAGGTGTCTTAACTACTTTTAAGTTCTTCAAATTTCAAGGTTTTCCCCTCTTGAAAACGGTTAGGTAATTTTTTCCCATTGTTATTACAGGAAATAGGCCTTATGTGTGTATACATAGGCCTACATAAAAATATAAAAAAATAGTAGTTGCATACGTATTCTTTTTTTAATGAATCGATAAGCTTCAAAGAAAAGGGGGGTCCGGGGGTCCTCTCCCGGGAAAATTTTGATATCTAGAAGGCGGGAAGTGAGTTTTCTCGACTTCTGAGTTTTCCCGACTTCTGAGGTGTCTTAATTACTTTTAAGTTCTTCAAAATTCAAGGTTTTCCTCTCTTGAAAACAGTCAGGTAAATTTATCCCTGTTATTAAAGTAGATACACCATAACAAAATTAAGTAGTTGCATACGATTTTTTTCTCCATTAATCCATAAATCCCAAAAAGAAAGGTGGGTCCGGGGGTTCTCTCCCTGAATATTTTGATTCCTAGAAGGCGGGAAATGAGTTTTCCCGACTTCTGAGGTGTCTTTTAATTACCTTTAAGTTCTTTATAATTCAAGGTTTTCCCCTCTTGAAAATTATTATAATGAATCAATGAACCCAAAGAGAAAAGGGAGGTTCGGGTTCTTCCCGGGAAAATGTTAATTTCTAAATGGTGGGAAATGAGCTTTCCCGACTTCTGAAGTATCTTATAGCGATTTTAATCTAAGCTCTTCAAAATTCAAGGTTTCCTCTCTTGAAAACGGTCAGGTAATTTTTTTCCCAAAATCCCAAAAAGAAAGGGGGTCGGGGTTCTCCTCCGGGAAAATTTTGATTCCTAGAAGCGGGAAATGAGCTTTCCCGACTTCTGAGGTGTCTTTTAATTACTTCTAATTTCTTCAAAAATCAAGGTTTTCTTCCTCTTGAAAATGATTCAATAGAACCAATGAACCCAAAAGAAAAAAGTAGTCCGGGTTCCCCCGGGAAAATTTCGATTTTTAGAATGCGGAAAATGACCTTCCATGACGTCTGAAAGGTCTTTTAAATGACTTTTTAAGTTCTTCAAAATTCAAGGTTTTCCCCTCTTTAAATGGTCAGGTAAATTTTTCTCATTTTTTATTTTATGTAGGTAGACATAGGCCTACATAAATAAATGAGTAGTTGCATGCGTATTGTTTTTTTCCATGAATCGATAAATCCCAAAAAGAAAGGGTGATCCGGGGGTTCTCCCCCGGGAAAATTTTAATTCGTAGA